CAACCACTATTTGAGTCCCTATGACGAAGTGTTTTTGTGTGTTTGTGACCACCCAGGTCTTATGCATCCACTCTCTCCAGAGTTCGTTTTTCGGACTCCCCTGCTAACTCCTCAGACTCTCTTCCAACTGCCTCTCCCAACTGTTCGCTAGGTCCGTTTTCTGTCACTCAGGGAGTGCTCCAGCCAAAAGGCCCCCTCCCCTCTATGTCATGTGACTCAGCAGGGATCTATCTTAACATTCTGCTGGTCCCATATTTTCAATTCAGTCACAGCAGGGTATAAAGCTCTCAAGAGTCAACGCTCCCTTCGCCAGATCTAATAGAGTGAGTTTCTACACACGAAAGCTTATACCCTAGCAAATTTGGCAGGGGAGAGTGAGTCAGAAATTGAATTTGGCAGGGGAAGGCAAATTTGCAATGGAAGGAGAGTCAGAAATCGAATTTTGCAGGGGAAGGCAAATTTTGCAGGGGAGGGAGAGTCAAAAATCTAACTAATAAATAAATAGTCTTTAAGGTGCCAGTGGACGCCGATTTTGTTCTGCTGCTACAGACTATCACAGCTGCCCACCTGGAACTTCCTTTATTCAGAGAAGTCTGTTTAGCACGTAGGCTTTAAGACACAGAAGCAGCAGTAAATGTGGATAACAAAATGACTTGATTGTGCGAGGTACATTTTTTAGATACTGAAAGAACAGCTTTGGTAGTCGGAATGACAACTGATGTCAGAATGACATTTCTCAGAATGACAACTGATTTCCAGACTACAGAGACCAGGTTCCCTGGAGAGCATGACTGCTTCGGAGGGTGGATTCCATGTCATTATACCCTGCTGAAGTCCCTCCCTGGACTCCGCCCCTCAGTCTCCAGCAATTTCCCACCCCAGAGATGGCAACCCTAGGAAAGAAGTGTCGAAGGGGGAAAGATTCTGGGAGCCATCTTTCCTTTAAACACTACAGTTTCTCCTGAGAGCCAGGGGAATTCATTCCTCTGTGATGCTTCAATCCCACCTTTCCTCCTTCATGGAATGCAAGATGGGATACCTGGAATTCCCAAAGAGTTGGCAGCCACCGAGTAGACCCAGGTCTGCTCTGGTTCAGCCAAGGACTTCAGACCATACTCTGGGATCTACATTAGGTTGCCAATCTCCAGGTGGTGGCTGGAGATCCCCTGGGATTACAACTGGTCTCCAGGCGACGGAGATCAGTTCACCTGGAGAAAATTGCCACATTGGAAGGTGGACTCTATGGTATTATACTCCTTTTAAGTCCTTCCCCTCCCAAAGCATGCCCTTCCAAACCAGAGCCAGTTTGGTGTAGTGGTTAAGAGCGGCAGACTCTAATCTGGGAGAACCGGGTTTGATTCCCCACTCCTCCACTTGCAGCCAGCTGGATGACCTTGGGTCAGTCATAAGTTCTTTCAGAGCTGTTCTCCCAAAAGCAGTTCTCTCAGAGCTCTCTCTGACCCACCTACCTCACAGGGTGTCTGTTGGGGGGAGAGGAAGGGAAGGAGTTTGAAAGCCACACTGAGACTCCAAGTACATGGCGAGGTATCAATCCAATCATCTCCTCGTCTTCCTCCTCTTTTCCTCCTCCTCCTCCTCCTCCTCAGGCTCCACCTCTTAAATCTCCAGGGATTTCCCAACCCAGAGTTGGCAACCCTAGATCTACAGAGTGCTGATCCTCCTCTTTTCCTCCTCCTCCTCCTCCTCCTCAGGCTCCACCTCTTAAATCTCCAGGGATTTCCCAACCCAGAGTTGGCAACCCTAGATCTACAGAGTGCTGGAGTGATTAGTGCATGTTGGACTTGCACCAGAGAGATATGGAATCACACTCCCCTCATAAATTTGTAGCAAAGCCAGCATGAAAACTACACACACGACTTCCAGTCTATGGCGGCACGCTAGCAGACTCAC